CTGTAGAGCACATTACCGACTAATTAGCAATAATTTTTTTGAGTTATATTTTTAAATTTCCGTTAAAATATACTACTAAATCTGTGAAATTACCAGTGCTAAGATTTTTTTATTGATTTGAGATAAAACACTAACATATCGGCTAAGCCTACACCGCCCATATGCTTGTTGTATTCTTTTACGATGTTTGTTTTTTATCCTTAAAATATCTTCTGCATACACTCATTGTTTCAACGTCGGTGTAGTTACTACCCAGCAAAACTTCTTTATTATCAAACCATGTCACTAAAACTATCTTTTTTCCCCCCGCAAACTTCAATATCCACCGACCCTTGAGGCACCTTCTTCATTTCTTTGTCATCCTTCAGAATACATCCTCTCGTTCTATTTTGTCGGAATGTGCCAATCGACAAGATACCCAGTTCGTTTCGTAGATGGTGCATTAACTCGACACTTGAAAAATAGTTATCAAAGTATACCACAGTTAGTACGGGATCTCTTGTCGTGCGACATAAAGAAAGGACAACTTTGGCACACATTCCTAAAGAATTCTCGTAACCACTGAAATCCCTTTCCGAAAAAGTAGATTGTCTACCATATAGAATTGCGTCATATATCATTATGCGTCATATATATTATCATTTTATATCCCCACTTTTTAGACTTACTTTTTATGTATTGTTTTAATTCATCCGACTTCTTCCCTTTATACGGTGCCATCATCCCATCAATGGACATTCTACTTTCTTCTTCAATCTTTCTGCAGTTGGATATAACTTTATCAAACAGAGAACGAATTTTGTAATAACGGTCATTGTTCTCAATTTCAACTTCACTGTCATTGAAAAAGAGATAACGTCTTATTAACTGATATTTCTTCACATCATCACATTTACAACGTAGTCTACTTTAAAATCCTTAGACCAATAACCAACATACGCGGGTAACTGGATAATACCCATAAATATCTCAACACTCAAAAAATCCGTGATATCTTGTGTACTCAACGTTAATTCTTTGGAATCTTTTTGGTACGCATACAAAATAGTTTGATCTCGTATGTACTGTATTAAATATTCATAAATAAATTTATAAAAATATTCTAATGAGCTGCCAACTTCATTGGGAGTTGTAAACTGGTTTCCCTTTAAGTTTTGTACTCCATAAGCAAATTTTTTTTCTACCCATTCACAAACATCAGTAGCTTTACTTGTTTTATAAGTTGTAAGTTTATCTGTTAATAAGATCGATTTAGTCCTATTAGTGTATTCTTTTTTGTTATTGACCCGTACAATCAATACAGTAATTGTTTGATTTGACATTTGAACCTATATGATTTGTCAATGTCGTTAATAGACATACTACGAAAAAGAAGAGATAACCGTCATTAAAATATGACCCCTGTAGTACATACAATTTTTACTATGGAAGTTGCACCAGCCTGACATTTTGTAGAGTTGTTGCTCAAAGAGTTTTTTTACATTTTTTTTGTAGGTATATCCAACAAAGACTGGAAGAATTAATCTTGACATCGAAAATCCTTGCATTTTAGAAAATGACCTTCATGAACTGGTAAACAAAGTTTATCCCAATATAACCATCATTATTATTTTCAGTGACGATCAACAAATCACAAGGTCAAACACATTCTACGTTGCGGGCTGAGACCTGAGCGTTGAGTGTTTTTCTTATTAACAGCTATATGTAGCCCTTTCGCGCGTCACTTTCAGACATAATTTAAAATTAAAAATTTTGTACAACCGACTTCAATATAAATTATTAAGAATACCTCAAAAACTGTTGGTCAGACATTTATATGGGACCACATGAGAAGCACCAGCTTTGAAAAAAAAAACAATCATCGAAATTGGTTCGCCCAGTAAAAAGTTATGAGGTGATACACACATTAAAAACATACAGTCGAAATGAGTACCGTCTCCTTTTTGAAGTCGGTAGAAAATTTTTTCGTATTGTGTAATGAAAAGTCAGCTGTATGAAGAAGATAATGAATCTGAAAGAAGCGAAAGAGGTATGTAAGGATCGTGACACTTGGCGATCTGTTCTCTCTGGCTACCCCGTCAGGGATTGTGCGTGAAGATAAGTAAAAGTCAGCTGTAAACATTGTATATAAAGACATGCTGTAATAACTGACAGTAATGATAAAACTTTAACATTAACAGCTAAATTACCCAGTTAATTAAATCTGTAAGCCGTGGACAAGTTTGGATCTATGTTTCACGATAATACACAATAAGATATTTTCTTACTCACGCATTTTTCGTAATAATGAATTATCGAATAGTCAGAAACAATTCGATCGAACAGTGTTTTTTATACATAAATGACATGTAAATTGAAATGTTTGTGATTTTAGTTCGAGCCGTTCGAGGTTTGTTGGTCAGGGGCCAAAAAGTTTAAAAGTCGATTTTTTTTTATTCAACTACGATATTATATGTATAACTTTTTTGGGCATCGTTCATGGAGGCTGAACGGCTCCTTGTGCTTGGTGGCCCTAGGACACTGCCCCGCCTAGTCCCAAGGTAGCTACGCCCTTGGTTATATATATATATATATATATATATATATATATATATATATATATATATTAATGGTTGTCAACAAAACACATTTAATGCTGAATACCTTGTAGGTGCGAAACACTAATTAAAAAACGTCGCATTACAGCTGTCCTTATATCAAGTGGCTGTCCACTACGCCATAAATTAGTGACGGGCTGCCATAATTAACTAACTGCCCGCGGTTTAATTAATTTGCGAATATCTTATTAGGTGGAACAGCTTCGTTAGCATTAACTACAGGGCATGTACACACACAATCGTTTGGGTATTTTTTAGGTTGTCTAAATAAAATTGGGGAATTCGAGCATTAATAAATATGGTTTAAGGCTTCATAGGTTTTTTTTAGAAATAAATAAATAATTATTAATATACGAAACCCCGAGCGATCTAACTAAAACATATTTCATCTGTTATACCTGTGATGTGATTGTGATACGATACTTGGTACATTTATTATGTCCATTGAAGTTTTTTACTGTACACTTAATTACTTAATCGAATTAATTCATAATGGAGATGGTTCTCAATTCTACTATATTTTGGCGTATGTGGCGTTTGTTTATGAATGTTTTGTTTGAATTGTGAACCGATTTTGCCGGTCTGTGGAATCTTGCAACTCAAATTTCGAGCACTTCCCGATCTAGCTCATCAGCTAGACACTTGAAATTTTGAATATAGCTCAAAATCGTGGTATATTAAATCTTTTAATACAAAAAAAAAATCGCTTGTTAATAATTATTGTATAGTGAAAGTCAATGTAAAATATTTTTACTCCATAGCTTTTAGAAATCACTTTTGGAAAGTATAAAACACTACGCCATCACTTCAACAAGTCTCTACTGCTACATGTGAGAAGAGGCGGCAATAAACTCACAAGTAGACTATTTTTCTCCTAACAGATACAAATTATCCTTATGAAATGTATAAGTAAATAAAATAGATATATTATCTATACAAATAAATACAATTGAAGTGTCTGTTTGTAATGTCAAAATTACAGCTTTTTACTAAATGCATATGAAAGTATATTATACGGTACTAATAACAAAAATACAATTTTGAAAGTTTTTGTCTGTCTGTCCGTCTGTCTGTCCGTCTGTCCGTCTGTCTGTATGTTTGTTCTGGCTAATCTCCGAAACGGCTGGACCGATTTTGACGGGACTTGCAGATAGCTGACGTCACAATGAGTAACTTAGGCTACTTTTATTTTAGAAAAAGAATTAGGGTTCCGCGCAAAAAAAAATTTAACCCCAAAAACACGCGGGTGAAGTCGCGGGAACAGCTAGTATAGAATATACGTCAGAGGTCGTCCCATTAAAATTTGACAAAAATGTTCCACAGTGTGGAAAAATAAAGAAAATTACAATGTAACTATTTTGACGACATTCTAATTGTTACCTTGAAGTTGTTATATATTAGTTCGCTCAAAATGACTCAAAAAATCCAACTTTTAATAAAAAGTAATTACAATAATTTTTACATAAACACAACATAAACTATGTTCTTAGCACCGACTTCAGAAGCTAATGGAAGTTGTTTTATACAATTCAGGTTCAAAAATTAATCAAGCAGTGCAATAAATGAAAGGCCAGTAAGATGATGGAATGGGCAGTTAGTTTAGGCAGTCCACGGTGCGTGACGTACAAATTTTCTTTTTTCCACCGTTGGTTGGTCTTCTTGTGCGTAAATGTGTGTTCTCCAGTGTATTATTGTAGCTTTTATCGTGCCCAGAAATACTTTCAGCTGGAATAAATTAGTTATAATAGGTTCGTGGTTGTTATTTATTTACCACCTAGAAATATTTGAGCACCCAGAAATACAGAATAGTTTTTACTACAGAACTTGTTAATAAACATGCATTTTGTAATTCTACATATTCAACTGTCATTTTAAATGAGTGCCTTTATTTATATACGCTCCGACATAGTACACATTTGAATGCACGAAGTTAATTTTATAAATTGCGAAAATACGGTTCCCTCCCGAATTCCCATTTAGGCACAGTACAGCGCCCGATCGAGTTTCTATTTCCCGTTGAAAGATAATCCCAGCTGGAACAAGCGATGGCATATTTTAATGGCTCACACTGAATATGAGTGTGTGCTCTTTCTGAACGACAATGTTTATTGTAAATTTTTATTATATAACGTTAAGGCAGGTTATATAAGGTAAAAAGTGGTTCCCTCTCTGTGATGTAGCTTTAGGGGATATGGGGAATACGCCACATTTTCCCCAAATATCTATCTCACCTGTGTTTTTGTTTGGGAACATTTATCCAAAATCGAAGTAAATCGTAGGCTTTACCTTAGACCAAACGGCCGAAAGTTAAGAGGGAAATAGAGAAACACGGTCTTCTGCACTTGAATCACTAGCTGCCTGTTGCATTCGACATATCAATAAAACTATATTCTTCTTTTTCAGTACGTTGGTGCCATGGAAACACTTCCGCGAGGAGCTGAACAACGTCCATCCGATATCGTCGGGTCTGGAGACGATGGCGTTGAAGACGACGATAGACCTCACCTGCAACGACTTCATATCAAACTTTGAATTCGACGTGTTCACGAGGTAAATAGATAACTATAGTTTCACGTCCTCGTTGGTCTAGTTGTCGTAAACGCGACTGGTCCCGGGTTGAATTCTGAGTCAAAAAAAAGTTATTGAGTTTTTCTTTCCAGAAAGTCTCAGTAGTGGAGTAAGACAGGTGGGCGGTGTTTCACCCGCCTGCCTCAGAAAGCACGTAAAGCCGTTGGTCCTGCGCCGGATCTCTCTCCGGTCTTGTCGGTTTACCGTCCCATCGGACTATGAGAATGAGGGAATAGAGAGGCTTCTGTTTGTTGCTTGCGCAATACACTCGGGCACTATAATCCTACTCTGTGCAAATGGCTAGTCTGCGTTGAGGCTGGCTGCCGTGACCGAAATTCGGTCTGGACAACATTATTATTATAGTTTGTGTACTAAAATATTTGCACTTATCTCCAATTGATATTCACGCATGAATGAAGAATGAACAAATATTAATATTATAAAATCAGTATCATCATATATCATCAAGTCCTTTACAAGGCAACGCTCCCTACTTATCATGTAAGTGGCCGAGGCACTTCAGTGATTGAATAGACTGTACCTACAAGTTAAACAACGGTGCTCTTGAACGGCCAAGCGCTCTACCATTTATCTTAAAGTGAGCATTTATCAAAGAGACATCCTCTGCAAAGAATCGTTAGTGGTTGAGCGCAATATATTGTTTCATCGAGACGAAGTTTAGTGGACTCGGTCGAAATTCTGATATAAAACGTAATATGAGTTAAGGTTACCTTCGGCTGAAGTATTGTCTATTGCCACTCAGAGCCTGACTAGTATAAGTGTAATTGTGAAATGTGCATAGTTTTCTCTATCTCGTGATATATATATTTCTATATATATATATATATATATATATATATATATATATATATATATATTATCATCATCATCATCATTACAGCCCTTCACAAGTCCACTGCTGAACATAGGCCTGCCCTAAGGAATACCACAAAGTACGGTCCTGAGCCAACTGCATCCATCGACTTCCTGCATGCCTTACCAGGTCGTCACTCCATCTAGTGGGGAGATGCCCTACACTTCATCCGCCGGTACAAGGCCACCTTGGAAACGTTTTTTCCCCGTCGGTTGTAGGTTCTCCAAGCTATATGGCCGACCCATTGCCACTTCAGCTTACTAATCCGTTGAGCTATGTCGGTCACTCTGGCTCTACTGTAGATATCCTCGTTTTTAAGTCTATCATGCAGAGGAACGCCGAGCATAGCCCTTTCCATAGCTCGCTGAGCGACCTTGAGCTTTCTCATTTAGCCAGCAGTGAAGGACCACGTCTTAGTTCCATAGGTCATCACTGGCAACACGCACTGGTTGTACAGTCTCGTTTTTAAGGGCTGAGGTATACCTGACGAAAATATGTGTCGTAATTTCCCAAACGCTGCGCCGTCGATAGACTTCTCGGTCGAACTTGGACTTACCTAGTCGGACTATTTGTCCAAGTAAACATACTCGTCAACAACTTCGAGCTTAGTGCTCCCAACAACTACCGGCATTGGTGTGACATGGACGACATACATGGTATTTGTTTTGTCCATGTTCATCTTATGACCTATCCGTTGGGAGGCACTATTGAGGTAATTGAGCATAGTGCTTAGGTTCTCCGGCGAGCCGCTATAAGGACTACGAGGGCGGCACTGAAAATTTCGGGAATCAAGGTAGTGACACAACATTACTATTTAAAAATGTATTTATTGCTTTTCAAAGTATTCTCCGCGAAATTTGACACATTTTTCCATACGATGGAACCAGTCATTGAAGCAACCATTCCATTCGGAAGTTGGGGTCTTCAAAATGGCCGTTTTGTAGGCGTCCACAGCTTTTTCATGTGATGAAAATCTCTGTCAACGCAATTTATTCTTTATTTTAGGGAAAGTATAGAAATCATTAGGGCTTAGGTCGGGGCTGTACGGCAGATGGTCTAATAATTCTATGTTTTCTTGCTCTAAAAACTCTTTTGTTCTGTGTGCGGTGTGAGAACTCCCATTGTCGTGATGGAGGATGATGCGGTGGTTGCAGTTCTCTTTACGGAGTTCAGAAACGACCTGTGGCAAACAAATGCTAGCATACCATTCTGCATTAACCGTTCTTTGTCCCTCAAGAGGAATAATCGTAACATGGCCGGTTTTGGAGACAACCGTGGCCACCATTTTTTTTGCAACACTCCGTGAACGAACAATTTTTGTTGGCTTAACTCATTTTCGAACACCCAAACTCGTGACTGGTTTTTTGTTTCGGGTTCGTACGCGTATATCCAGGATTCGTCACCTGATACGATGTTGTATACAGCATTTGATGATCCTACGTGGAATCTTTCGAGAGTTCTGACGCACCAAGTAACGCGAGCCGCTTTTTGCTCTTCACAGAGCGAATGCGGTATCCATCGGGAAAACAACTTTTTTACACCTAATTGTTCACGCAAGATTATTTATATTTGACTCATGCCAATGTCTAAAGTTGCCTGAATTTCGCGGTATGTCACATGTCGATCTTCCTCAATCAGCTTACGCACAGCATCAATGTTTTCTTGGGTGACTGCAGTTTTTGGACGACCTTTACAGGGATCATCACTGAGCTTGACACGTCCACGTTGAAATTCAGCAAACCAGCTATAAATTATGGTTTTGGATGGGGCTTCATCACCAAATGCAGAAATCATCCGGTCAACACACTGTTTTTGTGTTAAACCACTTCGAAAGTCATAATAAATCATCGCTCTTGAATTTTCTCGAGTCAATTCCATTTTCTCAACGACTAAACAAGTTTCATAAAACATTTTGGCAAGACCGAGAAGAGTCCTGCCCAGTTTTAAGGGGACCTCCCACCCTCCCTCAATCGCGCGCACTATACCCGTCGCTGTTAATCCCAGGACTACCGCCCCCAGCACCACCACACTAGGCACGACACACCACTCTCGAAAATACGACACGTGTTTCGCCTCTACATTGAAGTGGAGAGTAACACAGCATTGTGAATTGCCATGCGTGCTTCTTCTGACATATTCTGACTTCCCACAATAGAATGAATATCCCATTTATAAAGAAAAGAGTGTCCCGTATTTACTCTTTTTTATACGCTTATGTATACCATCCCTGCTAAACACACATCCCAAATACACAGTCATCCCCTTGCTCGACCAACTCCCCTTATATTTTATTTCATTCTCCTCTTTCAAAAATCATCACTTTCATCTTACTTTCATACTTAATTAGAGTCTATGGTTACCTCTTTACACTTAAACACGTTTTCGAAGTATTGCTTCCATCTTTTTAAACTCTAAACTTCGTCATTCAAAATACACCTATTTTCGTTTAGTTCTGCATTCGTTATAGGGTAATGTGACTTCCCCTGTCAGTTCTTACTATCCAGTCCACTAGCAATTTTGAAGCTAATAATAAAAAATCAACTACTAGACGTCCTATTAAGGAGGGGTTTTGATAAATAAGCTTAGTTAGTAGGCGGGTTGGTTATTGCAGTGTCGGAAATTTTCCCTCGTTATTCTAGTACCAATAGGATGAATTTGGTGTTTAATCTTAGTCGATGTTGTGATAGTGTGGTAGAATAGAATTATAGAAAAATGATTATTGGCTGTGTTTAAATATAATTTAAAAGTGCTAAGTCAAAATATGAGAAAAACCCAAGAACAATTATAAAATAAAATCTTTTCCATTTATTTGACTCAGAGTATGCGACGGTCATCAGTTCGTAAGCTTAATGAATGAATATTCGTATTATATATATTGTACAATGGTTTAAAAAATGAAATACTAAAATTTCGTTGAGAAATAAAATATCATAATATTAAGAACAATGATTAAATTTCTGCGCTTATTTTTTACGTTTCAGGTTATTCCAGCCCTGGAGCACGTTACTTCGCAACTGGCAGCTGTTGGCCGTCACTCACCCCGGTTACGTCGCTTTTCTCACATATGACGAGGTGAAGGCCCGCTTACAGAAGTATATACATAAGACTGGCAGTTACGTGTTCAGGTTAGTTTGGTTACATACCTATTCTAACGCCTAGGATACCTGAAAATTATAAAACTAATAGCTTAAACTAAAAACAACCATTTGTTGCATGTAATCAACAAAAAGTCAAAATAACCCCTAATTTACCTGATTTTGATATTTACCATTGATGAGTTCAGCTGTCTGCCATTATCAGGTTAGCATAAAGTTACAATCTATATACGTCCCACAGCTACACTGGCCTGCTCTCGTTTACTAACAGGTCTATGGAGAAATTAGTCTGTCGCACTGCTGCCTTGCGTGTTATTTTTGCAGGTTTCGTCAGAACGCTTTCTTTCAACCCGATCACACGGTAAACTTTGTAATTCACTAAATGAAACTGCCCATTTCTTGCCATGATGTGTAGACACACTAGTTACGATGCGTGAATATAAAATTTAAATCAGGTGCGTGCAATGACTCTGGGAGATCGTAGCAAATTAAACGTGCGCCCAACGCGTGGACGCGGCGACGAATACTCTGCCACAACCTTTTGATCTTTTGTAAAAAACCGAAATCATACGGATCTCGCGCCAACTTGTGTGCCATCATTCCAATAAATACCAAGTGAAGACAAAACACCCGCTCTACCCGCTCATGGCCATTGGTATTGGCCAACACATTCGCCACTATGTTTTTTACGTGGTAGAGCCATGCTGCAGCTATATTTATAGTATAGTGTTGTAGCACGAATGAGTCGGCTCGACCGGGGAAGGACCACGCTCTCACAGAATACCAGCGTAAAGTAGCAGCTTAATGCTGCTGTGTTTCGTATGGTGAATGTAGAGAACCGGAGACCCTTTTTACTGGAAATGATTCATTCCATCTTAGTCCTCAAGGCTGACAACGCATCTGCATTTTGATTCGCAAACGAGGATTGTTGTAGATGTCTATGGGCCACAGCAACCACTTACTATCAAGTGGACTGTGTGCTCGTTTGTCACCCTATTTCTATAAAAAAAAAAGTGAAGAGCCGCCTTTATATAAATATCTTGTTTTAGGTTACAATATATTATCATAATGACAAAAAAAAAACATAACCCAGTTTGCAGAATGATTCCAACCAAAGTTTTACAATCGCCCTGCTCGTCCATCAATCGCCACAGGACGCAGCACGTGCAGATGGGGTTGAGTTTTACAGAAAGTTATTCTCTTGTTCGCCCTACTTAGTCTACGATTGTCGCTTTTTTACCTTCTAAAGCGGAACGAAGCTAATATATCATATTATGTGAATATATAAAGCGAAGTTCAATTCAATGCAAAACAGTCTTTATGCTAAATATTACGTGGTTATTGCAGATTATCGTGCACACGTCTCGGTCAATGGGCGATTGGCTACGTTACTGCCGACGGTGAGATCCTGCAGACGATACCGCAAAACAAGAGTCTCGTGCAAGCTCTACTCGACGGCTACAGAGAGGGATTGTGAGTATGCATATTATCTTTTATTCTCTAATTATAACTGTTTAATACATTACCGTTTACTGTAGACGTATCGTATCGTTCAATCACTTCTTTGCTTTGTAATAGAAAGGATGACCCACTAGCACGAAGTCCACTTGACATCTATATATTTTCTAAAGGATCAAAAATGTAGATCCGTTATTGCCTCTGATGACCAAGGTGTCGCTGCTAGTAAAATTGGTCTCCGGTTCTTTTGTGAAAACACTCACCATACGAAACGCATACGCATACTATTCTAATGCATATTCATGTTTGTGTGGTGTGAAAGCGTGGTCCTTCCCCGGTTGAGCCGACCCATTCATTCTGCAGCCATAAACCAGCTGTAATGTATCTCTACCACGTAGAAATCCTTCAAGTATTTAAGCTGCCTTGAGCCTCTTTATGGTTGAATACTCTTTGACATAAAATACCTTAAATCTTAAGAAAATTTTCGATTGCCACGTCATTTCCTACGCCCACGCCACGTCTTATTGATATTGGATCCAACGCCGCGATTAATCTTGATTTGTGGCCACTGAAACTTATGAGCCATAATTTAGTATTTTAAAAATAAACAACTCACACGTCACTTCCTCGGATAACAAGATACTTTGTGCAATATTTATGTTTATTGAAAAATGCGTGTGGACTTAGAGATTTAAAAATATAAATCTAGGTGGTAGAACCATGCTGTAGTTATTTTATGGTTGTAGCACGAATGGGTACGCTCGGCCCGGGGAAGGACCACACCCTCGTAGAATACCAGCGTAAAATAGCAGTTTTATGCTGCTGTGTTTCGTATGGTGAGTGTGGTAGAGATCCGTGACCCTTTTTACTGGAAACGAGGCTTTCCATCGTAGATATCAACGTCGATAACGCAACGGCATTTTGATTCTTAATCGAGGATAGATATATTAGGGTCACTGCGTACACTTACCATCAGGTGTACTTTGTGCTTGTTTGCACCATTATTCTATAAAATAAATAAAATAAGAGATTTACAAAAAGTAAATATCAATTTCCTACGTCATGCAATTGAAAATTTGGGACTTTGGTAGTGATGTTCAATGCTTCGGATTGTTCCGTTTCAGCTATCTGTATCCAGACGGTCGGGATGTGAATCCGGACCTCAGCAGTGCGATAATTTCACCGGCCGAGGATCACATCACCGTGACGCAGGAGCAATATGAGTTATATTGTGAAATGGGTACGTATAGATACATATAACCTGTACTTTCTTGTGTAATTTATTTTGTTTTGAAGATACAATTTGACTATTTACAGATCCTGGGGCATGATAATGAAATATATTGATCGAAGTTCAATCATTTTATGTCTTATAAACTCTTTTAATTAATAAGTATAACAAATGAATACAGTCCACTTGATGGTATGTGGATGATGTGGCAAATCATAGCAGCATTAAGCTGGTGTTTTACCCTGGTGTTCTGTGAGAGGGTGGTCCTTAAATAAAACTTAAGTAAAATAAAGTAAAATACCAAATATACCAAGAATTTGGTGAAGATATGATAGCCCAAAAACCAGTGTACAATTAGGTTTGCTAAATTTAAATAGGGGAATTACATATTCAAAGACAAATATCGACTCCAAAACAAAGTCACACTTAGAAAAAGTTATGTGGCGTATGGTGGGATGCTTAAGAAGTAATCAAGTAACAGGCTTTTGGAACTTTATTCGGAAATAAATTGCATTAGTTTGCGTTTTCTTTGCAGGTAGCACGTTTCAGTTATGCAAAATATGCGCGGAGAACGACAAGGATATCAGGATAGAACCTTGCGGGCATCTGTTGTGTACGCCGTGCCTTACTGCTTGGCAGATTGTGAGTGTGTTTTATTGAAATAATATTTAATTTCAGTTTTATTAGAATAAGGATTAGAAATGAACCTAGATTTGATGGATTTACTAATAGACACAGAAGTACCTCATTCCCAACTTCTTCAGACTACCCTGATGGTGCCTTATTGTATCGTCGTTAACGTTGCATTCATTTAAACATTTTAAAATGAATGCCAACATTTGAGAAAAAGAATATTGGTTTGCTAAATTTGTTTGCACATATACTCAAGTTGATAAATATTGTTGCGCGCCACTATTAATGTCTTGTATATGGCAACACTAGTTACCACTAGCTCCCTCTAGTGTCGAGTAACAGAACTAGGAGAGTCAAGATCCTTCTAGAAATTTCGGGACCGATATGTACTAGAACATTCTAGATGTTTCTACAGTAGAAGGTTCTGGAAACTATCTGAGGCCCTATATAAAGCCGGTATAGACCACGACTGAGTCAGTATTGAATTGGCGATATAAGCGAATACTTCGAAGCGATATAACTGCGAACTAAAGTGATCAGAAGTACAATTGTGTTTTATTATTAGTGTGGTTTAAGTTGTAATTTGTGCTCTGTAATTAAAGTGTATTAAATTTTGGTAATTCCATCGGCAGTTTTTAATTGTCTCGAACCCCAAGCTCGTAACAATATGATAAATAAATATGAGAAATTAATTTCAACTTTGGTAGTATCCTGAATTTCAAATGCTTTGAAGATACTGTTTTGGATTGTAGTCGAGTGACGTAGAAAACGTTATTTGTACGAATGAAGTGGTCCTTCGAGCCGGATACGAACCAGCGAACTTGTACAACGGTATCCATAACTGACTGACTAGGGTTTACGTTGTTACTTAAAATTGTTTATACAATTGTACGTTTAAGTTATTGTTCTGTATAACATGATTTTTATTTTTGTACATACTATTATTGTATAACTTGTCAAACGTCTGTAGTTTCTTAGGTAAAGACAGATATTTTATTCATTTTAGGCTTATTTTATTTAATAACCGTGCGGTTAAGGAAAGGGATTGAAAATGGCGTCGCATCTATTCACCTCTTGCTCGCACACTGTCGCTATCTATACTCACACCCGCCTGTAAGGACTACCAAAAATAATAAGTTGCTATATGCGTTTTCTGTGCATTTTATAACTTCAGTCTAACTTGTCATTGGCATCAACGATAAAATGCCATAAAGTACCAAAAATAGTCCGGTTCCAGTCCACTTCGGTTTTGCCAATTTGTGAGCTACGAAGCTTTGAGAGTTTTCTTCATTAATTATTTTTGATTTTGTTTGTTACTATTTTAACAAAATATTTACATGCCATTGAGACATGCGTAACCATTTTTAAATTTTCGTTTATCTGTATGTCTAAGCTAATCTTCGGATTGGCTGAACGGATTGTAATAAAACTTCACGAACAAATAGAGTAACACCAGGAGTGATTTAGATTAAATTTTATCCGAATATATTTTGAGATTTTATTTAAATAGAACTATTGATAAGATATATATTTTTTAATGATTATCTTAAGTTTAAATAACACTACATTAATACCCACCCAAACGAAACCAGACGGGTTGCTAGTTATAAATTTAATTTAAAATTAATGTACCTACTTTAGTATTCAATTATTTTCAAATATTTTCCCATTAATAGAAAACTTGCTATTAACCGAATAAATTAACGCTATAACAATATACCGTTATTAGCGGGATCACGCTATATGTATTGTACATGTTGACGGTACGGGCTCGATGAGCCCCATTTCTAATCCCATTCTTTATCCATACGGACTGTACGTGTATAAAGTTTGTATAGCAATCTTCCTAGGTATTTGATAGTGTTTCCCTTTTTTCTACTTTTTAATTACAAAACTTTCTACTTTTTAATTTACTTATAGATGGTAGAGCCATGCTGCAACTATATTATGGTTGTAGCATGAATGGGTCGGCTCGACCGGGGAAGAACCACGCTTTCACAGAAGTGTAAAATAGCAGCTTAATGCTGCTGTGTTTCGTATAGTGAGTGTAGAGAACCGGAGATTCTTTTTACTGGAAAAGAGGCATTCCATCTTAGTCCTCAAGGCTGACAACGCATCTGCAATTTGATTCGCAAACGAGGATAGATGTAGATGTCTATGGATCACAGCAACCACTTACCATCAGGTGGACTGTGCACTCGCTTATCACCTTTATCCAATAAAAAACTTTATTTTCACTTTTAAATTACAAAAAAAAAAAAAAATTTTTGATTACGTCGACATCTTTCAGCTAGCATTTTATTTTAACCCATGACTATTTATTTTAATTTTTTTATTTATTTTATATTTGTTTATTTATTTTATATTTATTTATTGTAGGACTCTGAAGGCCAGGGTTGTCCGTTCTGTCGAGCTGAGATAAAAGGTACAGAGCAAGTTGTTGTCGACGCTTTTGTGCCACCGAGACCGCCCAACACTACCTCGGAAGCCAAGTAAGTTTTATATTAGTCCCAACTATCAATGCGATTAAGACAGGACAGGACTATACAGGGTTATTTTTCAGAGTAGCCAAATTTTAAACTTAAGTTCCAATATATAAATAATGGTATACCGTTACTGCAGTTTTTGAAAATACGAGTAAATAAGGCTCCTAGTATTTATTTGAAATTATCCCAAAATTGAATGTGATTTATGGGCAACAACGTTTTTGCCTACCGATCGACCCATACGGATGTGTGCGTGCGCAGTAGAATTAGTTAAAATAATGCATTACCACACATTTTGAATTTAAAAGCTAAAATGGACAGAATGTTTCAGATTTTTTTTAAATTAATTTTTCTTCACCATTTGCCTATATTACTTATTCTGAACCTTCACCGCAAATTTTGCCGGTTATTGCAAAATAACCCTGTATAAAGAAGAAGACGCAGACGCGAGGTGCGTGTTAGGAAAAGAAAATTTACAAAGATTTTTCTTACAATGCTCTTATTTTTAAACCCCGACGAAAACGGAAGGGTGTTATAAATTTGTAGTATGTATCTGTGTTTCTGTCTGTGGCATCATAGTTCCTGAACGGATGAACCGACTTTAAGTTTTTTTCGGTGTTAAGACACCGAAAAAAACTTCAAAACTTCGAGAAAAAATCGAGGGTATTCTTAGCGATGTTTCAAGAGAATCTTTTCAGCCGTTTGAAGATCGTCAGCTTTATTGTTTGGTTTTTTTTTTATTTTATTTAAGCTATATTTTAATGGTTTTTCTTACTGAATGAGTAGCAGAGTTGGCAAGGGGCGCCCTAGAAATTTATCGACTAAATTGGCGATATATTGAGGATGGGTCCAATGAACAGTAACCTTAACCATCAAGCATGTGTGCGTAGATGTATAGATGTAAAAGAAGCGCGAGAGGTGTGTCAAGGTCATTGTAATATATATATACATAATTTTTATAAATTATGATAATATTTATGATCTTTTACTCGTAAATTAAATAATATTTACTAAGTGATACCCGGCGGCGCATTGCTGCCGCAGAAGAAATAATTGTGGTAATTTCGTTTTTGGAAGACTTATATTTCTACTTATTTACTTACTTTTATTATTCGCACGCTACCTAGTGTAAGTTACTTTTACTATGCCTTTAATCTTCCCGCAAGTGCAAGCAATAAATTAACCAAGTTTTATATAATCCGCAATCTGATGAACGGTATGCAGCGCATAAAATACGAACAAACAAAAATTAATGTTTATATATTAGAAGATTAATTCATTTATTACAGCCCATCAATAGTCCACTACTGAACATAGGCCTCACCCAAAGATTGCCTCATTGGGGGAAGGGGGGATATTTGCCATGTTGCGGCTTTGCAACCACAGTTTTTTTATTACTTTGAGTTTCCGTCTAAAGCGTTTTATGGCACCCACTGGTAAAAGTCATGTTGAATATAAATACACTTTTTATTCCAGAAACAATATTGTCAAGACTGCAGTGAAACCAGTGTCTTCGAATTCTTCGGGTTCGTCGGGATCGTCCGGTTGTAATGGCTCAAGTGAGTTTTATTGTATACATTTTAGAGTTAATTTTTTGAGTTTTATTATATCTTTTTAATTATATTCTTTATAACGACTGCTTTGAAAATTCGACACAATTTATATAATCTTAATCTATATAAATAAAACGATAGAGGTTTGCAGTTGTGCGCGCATCACGGAAAAGCTATTAGATATATTTCAATTAGGTTTACTAAGTTCTATTTCTTAGACACTTGGCCCTTATCTAAAAAAATATCTCAATATCTTCATTTAATATAAAGTTATTAAAGTTGTAAGAAACAACGATTTTTATAAGCACTACGTGTTCAGTGATGTGTGTTTTCGTGATTTATCAAGCAACGCGGACAAAGTCACGGGTATCAGCTAATAAAAATATTGATGATCCGGCTAAAGCAAGTGGTAGTCGCCAACTTACCTATTTCTGCCGCCAAATAGCATTGGTACAGCAAGCAACCGGTCTAAAGTGTATAGAAAGCCAGTATAATTACAGGCATCTGTAGCCTTTATTTTGCTTGAAGTTGCTCTGCAAGTGTCTATGAATTGCAGTAGCCACTTTACCATCAGGTAGTCTGCAAGTTCGTTCGCCACTAAAATTTTTATTTAAATAATTAAAAACTAAAAATGTTGTACAACCGACTTCAATGTAAACTATTAAGAATAACTCAAAAACTATTGGTCAGATCTTGATCACATTTATATGAGACATGTGAAGCACCAGCTTTCAAATAAAAAAAGAATCATCGAAATTGGTTCACCCAGTAAAAAAGTTATGAGGTAACACATAAAAAAAAACATACAGTCGAATTGAATACCGTCTCCTTTTTTAAGTCGGTAGAATGGGGCGTTATAACTTGGACGCGTGACTGGAGTTTACTCTCTAAGAATGTTCATATCGGGGAAGGACCAACGCTCTCACAGAATACCTGCTGTATTCCTTATGATGAGTGTAGAGAACCGGAGACCCTTTATACTGGAAAAGAGGTATTCCATCTTAGTCCTCAGTGATATCGCATCTGCATTTTAATTCTTAATCGAGGATAGATCTCTATGGGCCACAGCGACCACTTACCATCAGGTGGACTGTGTGCTTGTTTCTCACCGTTATGTAAAAAAAAAAATGTGATTAGTCCAACTTCGATAAAATAAACCTGTAGAATGAAGTAGATAGCGCTATTACTTTACAATGTATTGAGTGGAGGGACAACATAACGCCTTCACTTTTTGTTAACACTCGATTTCGTTTCCCATCCAATTTATATACCGCGGGCTATAAATAAAAATCGATTCTCATGGATCAAACTCAAAAAAAAAATATTTTCATTGCAGGCACGGAAGTTATTATATCGAGTAGTGCAAACGGCTGGGCCTCAAGGAATACGACATTCAATGGCCTGACAGATGACATCGACGATACAGAGGTAATTCTATTCTATTAATTTGACATTTGGGATAAATCTATCATTACACCCATATTGGTTTTTTTTTGTTATAGTTGAAGTAGTTTTACGTAGTACTCGCAATGTTGTGCTAACCCTAGAGCTGGGCATTCTTCTTAAATTTCATAGAATGAAAAAGAACTCTAGTTCTGTCTTCGTAGACATCACGTAATTTTTTTAGGCAACTTGAAATTATAACGAATATCTAAGAAATTAGAAACGTGTTTTATCTTTCGAGGACATGTGCAGTCTGTCGCAGTGTACGAATGTAAGCAGACTCATCCGAAGTACAGTTTTTTTTTTCAGAATTGATTATGATATTATCATTTGATACTGGTGTATTGAGATAGCCCTGTGGTGACGGCTTTGTGGTACTATCCACCACCCCATTGATATTATTAAATTACTAGCTGCTCCCGCGACTTCGCCCGCGTGGAATTTATTACGATTGGATTTGAGGTCATTTAATTTTTTTGCGCGGCACCCTGATTCGTTTTCTAAAATAAAATAGCAAGTTACTCCTTATAACATCAGCTATCTGCCAGTGAAAGTCCCGTCAAAATCGTTTCGAAGATTAGCTGGAACAAACAGACAGACAGGCAGACAAAAAATTTAAAAAAGGGTTTTTTGTTTCTGTTATAAGTTCCGTATATACTTTCATAGGTATTTAGTAAAAAGCTGCTATTTTGACATTACAAACAGACTCTTCAATTTTATTTATTTGTATAGATTTAGTCTATTTAGTCATTTATATTATTTAGTCCGGTGGGTGTCGTAAGAAGCGATTTTTATACTATTATAAGCCGGTGCTTAACTGCTATCTCACCTGATGGTAAGTGGTGATGCAGGCGAAGATGGTTAAGCGCACTGACTTAGTTATGGGAACGGCAAAAAAAATCTCACATCTCAGATGGCGGTGTAACCATCTCGTTTACGTCTGACGTAATATACCGTAAGTAGTGAAGGACAGCAGCGTCAAAGCTGCTAGTAGTACTGCAATCGCAAATACGCCGGCCTAGCGTGACGGTTAAGGCAAATCCTCCGTAAAGGGAGATATCCATGTCCAGCTGTGGCCATTTACGGGCTGATAAAGTAGAAAAAAAGTACTGAGATTGGTCCTTCGAGCCGACTCCCTCTTAACTAATCATATACAATATGTAACGAAACCCTGTGGTTCCCGTTAAGTACGTTATCAGGATCATTATTCAAACGTATAGAAATAATTATTTTTTTAAAACTCGAACAATATTTTTTTATTTTATTTAAAAAAACATAATTGTATACATATTGTGTGTGGTTTTATTACCTCTGCATTGTCTGGGGAGTAAGAGGATTGTCAAAGACCCCGCTTTACTTAGCTTTAGCATCGGCTAGTGGCAGTAAGAGGTAATAAAACTAAATAAAATTAAAAAAAATTAAAAAATATGTACGAGTTTTTAAACAAAAATATTTCCATAGGTTTGAATACTAAACCTAATAACGTACTTAACGGGAACCACAGGGTTTTTGTTACATGTTGTATATAGAATCGAGTATGAAAAATCGATGTGAATTGAATGAGAATTGCAATACGACTTTTTTTACAATATTAAAATTGATGAAAGCATAAACAATGAAATAATATTTGAAAGCATGCTCTTTGCATTTTTGATTGTGTGGCATGTTCGTGTTTTGTTTTTTGGGTTCACTTGGGACTTTTGTTTTGTTGACGTTATTGTAATCATTTCCGTTTCCTGTTCAATGTTTTCATTACCGTGCCGGTTGAAACTTAACTGTGTTGTAACATTCATATTTAACAATAGAAGGAAGAAGAGGTCTTTCTGCCTTAAATAAAATAAAAATAAAAAAATCAAAAATGTGTTGTGTCTTCGAATAAATTTAGACAAAAATTGCTTTATTTACTAAATTATCTAGTATACGTATAGATACTATATAAATACTAAATAACACTTACTTTGAATGTTATTAAATAAAAAAAGATTAAGTCATAATTATGAACCTTGTTAGCTCAGGGGATAAAGAATTTCTAATTTACTGTGTTGGGTAGTTAAGGAAAATATTGTAATAGTATTTCGAACATGTGAAGTTCGCTAACACAAAATGACACAGCGCTGCGGCCTTTGCTCACCCCACTCAAAAGTTAAAGGGCTGTGCCGAGATGTGCTATATATATATACCAAGGTAGATACTATTCTTTATAATTTATGAGTCCATCAACAATTTTAAAGATTAAAATTTTTTTAGGTAAAATAACCTACATATTTGTATATTCTACATTATCCATGCCATTTGCATTTTTTTAAGGGCGCAGTTAAGTTTCAATCGAGCATTGCATGTTGAGCCTCATAGTAAAATGTCATTGTTTATTTTGCAGAGACGCGCGAGAAAATCACCGCATGCTTAGTGTTTTTACGCGCGAATTGCATTTTGTTTGCATTCGGGAGCATTCGCGATGTGACAAACATTCCATTTTAGGATAATTATAGATTTTTTGTTTACTTTCAAGTGAAAAGCAGTGTTTATCTCAAAAAATGTTTTATTTATAGTAAAACTATCTTGACAGCTTATGAATGAGGTACTTGACATATCATTTGAATTTACTTTCTTCTTGTAGTCGCAAAACGGGCGCATTTCTTTTTAAGTTAAATCGTATTTTAATATACGCTAGTAAAATGCTTTTATACAAGTAACTGGGATCATATATTATTTATTGCTATTATTAATCAATTTCTATAGAAATAATATTTTGACAGCCCCCAAAAAGTAATTCAATTAACAGGAGTATTTTAAAGGTTTAATATGAACATCACACAAGAAAATTAGTATGTCCACCACACCCTGTTATCGACAATTAGTTGAATAAAATATGTTATTGGATGAACAAATGTATGTGTCAATAACAAAATGTTATTTACGATATAGAAACACATAATGCAGTTATGAATTTGTTTGTCCTATGTTACGATCGAAGTGATAATATAAAGAATGCTACCAGTATTTTATCTTATATAGTTAAATCCTTAACTAGAAACGGAAGCAGAGCCGTATCGATAAGTGAAACCTAATTGAAGAACCTTTACAACATTTGGAACTGTATGAAGTCTATCTAGTTAAATTGGTGCTCAAAGGAAAATCTACCAAGCGTTAAACAGCAGCTAGACGATGTTAAGAAAGAAATTATTAGTAGGCGAGAGTTCATTATAGATTTGAAGAAAGACTTTGTTCAAATTGAATTTACATCTTGGTATGAACGGTTGTACCGTATCAGTATTTCGTAAATAATTAGTTACTGACACAGAAGTTTAAAGTACATTTTTAGACTAAAAAGTAAAAAGACAATAACGAAACTCTTAGTTGCTTTTCAACAGCTATCAAATTAGTGCTACTTTCAATAGCTGTCAAATAAGTGTTCTTTGCAGTAACTGTTAAATTAGTGTTCTTTCAGTAGCTGTCAAATTAGTGTACTTTCATTAGCTGTAAATTTGTGCTTTTTTCAACAGCTGTCAAATTAGTATTATTTTCAAAAGCTGACAAACTAGTATTATTTTTAACAGCTGTCAAATTAGTGCTACTTTCAGTAGCTGTCAAATAAGTGCTCTTTGCAGTAACTTTCAGTAGCTTCAAATTAGTGTTCTTTCAGTAGCTGTCAAATTTGTGCTCTTTTCTACGTCTGTCAAATGAGTATTCTTTTCAAGAACTGACAAACTAGTATTATTTTCAACAGCTGTCAAATTAGTGCTATTTTCAGTAGCTGTCAAATAAGTGCTCTTTACAGTAACTTTCAGTAGCTGTTAAATTATTGTTCTTTCAGTAGCTGTCAAATTTGTGCTCTTTTTAACAGGTGTTAAATTAGTATTCTTTTCAAGAGCTGAGAAATTAGTATTATTTTTAACAGCTGTCAAATGAGTGCTACTTTCAATAGCAGTCAAATTTGTGCTATTTTATACAACTGTCAAATTAGTATTCTTTTCAAGAGCTGACACACTAGTATTATTTTCCACAGCTCTCAAATTAGTGCTAATTTTATAAATGTGACAATACTGCTTTTTACTTTTTGGTACAATAAGACGATTTACTATTTTGGTTTAATTAAGTAAAACAACATTTAATTAACCTTTATTGGGTTCCCTGTGACTATAATATTGCATTTTTGTGCTTTGTGTTGTGTCACTGATTATTTTCTGTTTTTTTCATTGGTAAATTAATTTCTTTTTTCTTTTTCTTTTTTCTTTAAAATTGTATATTTATTTTACCAATCAATTGGGAAATATATCGTTTTGTTTGGTTTGAATGTAATCTTAAATAATATCAGGAGGTCGTAAACCGATTTTCCAATTTATCTTTTTTATAAAAACATATAATTATTTGGCTATAGTGGCAATATAGAAAATTATATCAAACCCGATGACAATATAAAATTTGGTTAATATTTTATTAACTTCAGATTACTAATTGTAAACTTGCACGTGTAATATAAATAGATTATTTTGAATGATTTTGAAATATCTTTTTTCGTGGCATCGCTCGTATCATGGACACCGATACAAACCAAGAGGCCTTCTGTAGCTAAAATATTTTTTTTATCTATACCATGATACAATTCTACCTTAGGACAAATTTACACATTATCGCGCGACAAATAATAATATTAATAAGGTGAAGGATCTACTCGTCACAACCAAAATAGTAATTCGTCTATAATGATAATAATTATTATTTTAATTAACACCCTAGTGGTTGTTACTTTATTTACACAATGCAAATAGGGATTGAACGTTAAGAATTGCGTAGTAAGGTTTATATTTATTAGAATAAATACATCTGCTTCGTGTGACATTTTAACAATTTTCATTTTCAATTTTTTTTATTTTGTATTCTGTTTGCATGCATCGTGTTTGGAAGGCTATTGCATGAGTTTGTATGAATTATTCATTAAATATATATATTGACTTTCAATCAACATCACTAAAACATATTATTTA